TAGTTAATATTACATCACTTTTTGAGTGACTTTCTATTTCTCTTCAATAATAGAAGAGTGTATTGAGAATTCTCTTTTTTCAAGATTCATGTCCTTGACATGATGTTCTTAACCTAGTAGGTATTAAATCTGCATGTGTTGCAGCTACTAACCTATTTATATGTGAATTTGAGATGAAAATGCTAAGAAAAATAACTTTCTGTATTGGTCTTCAGATTATGCATCTCACAGATGGTAGCATTTTTCTCTACCAACTATTGTATATTAGATGAATCTTATGAAGATTCAATATGATTGATACTTATCTATTGTCTATATCAATGGTTGAACATGGTCATGATGGTCATGATCCATATTGTCTATGCAAGGAGGAAGAGGAAATATTGGGAGATCAATATCCATACCTCATAGCGATTGGAGCACTTTTATATTTGGCTACATCTATAAGACTAGATATTGGATTTGTAGTCAGTGTTCTTGTAAGACATAGTACACGTCCAATACTATGACATTAGAATGGCATCAAATATTTATTATGTTATTTAAAAGATACTAAAGACTTAGGATTATACTACACACAATTTGCAAATCCAAAATTGATTGGATATTGTGATGCGAGATATAAATTTGATATTGGAACAAAAAAATCTCAAATAGGATATGTATTTTTAAGACATGGAGTTGTAATATCATGGAAATTAGTGAAATAAATAATAACTACAACTTCATCCAACCATGCAAAAATCATTGCCTTACATGAATGTATTTGGTTACAATTAATTGATAAATTAATTCAAACAACTTGTGGATTTTTATATGATGATTCTCCAACTATCTTGTATGGAAACAATAGTGCTTGTATTACACAGATGCAAGTTGGTTTCATTAAAAGTGACAGAATAAAGCATATTGATCTAAAGTATTTTAATTATACCTATAACTTGATTACTGATGAAGCACTTATAATTATGAAAATTGAATCTACAAATAACCTTGTTGATCTCTTCACCAAAGCTCTCCCATTGTGTAACTATCGCTGACTTACTTATGGCATTAGTATGTGGCAACTTATATTTTTTGAATAAGAAAGTTAATGAAATCTTTAAATAATTAAAAAAAAATGATATTGTATTTTTTTTTCCTTCATCTATGATTTTTCCCTTAAATACAATAAGGTTTTCTTAGATAAGATTTTAATTAGGCAACAATTTTGATCTTGCAAGATTATAGAAAAGTATAAATCATAATTCCATACAAATTTTATATTATGTAAATATTATGATGAGCAAGGGGGAGTGTTGAGAGTATTAAATGTAGTCGGCACTCTCCGTAATATTTATTGTAGTCTACAATAAATACTGTAGCTACAATACTGTTTATTCTCTCTCCTTCTCTTTTTTTTACAAGATACAACCAGATCAATAGACTTGTGTGTGTGAAGCTCTCTCTCTCTCTTTAGAAACTCTCTTTTGTATGTGTGTATTACTTACTACTACTCTTGTGTCTTTCTAAGCATTCTCAATAGTTTCTACCCCATTCTTGTCTTCATTCCTTGCTTCCAACCCCTCCTATTCCTAATCCTTGTTCCTAGCCCCTGTTCTCTTTTTTGTATTCCTATCTCTTCTTCTTGATATGTTCTCAACTTGAGATGGAGCTCACTATGTAGGAGGATGGCAAGAGAGAATTATTTTTTTAGTTCATCACAACCTTCCTTCAACCTTAAGATTTTGCAGCTCTAGTATTTGCATCTATAAATCACATTTCTCCTAGGATGTAATCAATCCCTCCAATTGGTTAGTATTTTCTCTCTTTGTCTTTAAGTTTATCCTCATAGGCAATTCAAAGCTTATATTTCTATTCTATCTTAAAAATGTATGCTTTTCCAAGCTTTAAATAAAATCCGATCAACTTTTGAATTTTTTCATGTGTTGTATCAATAATTCTATGTAACTTTTAAACATGTTCTATTTGGAATACTATAAAAACAAGTTTTCATGCATGAGCCAAGAAACTTGTTGTTGGAGACAAATTTATCTTTTTAGCCTCAGTAGCCAACTATCTACTATGAATTAAGGTGACACTTAATGTGCACAATTTATTTGTTTGCATGGTAAAGGTGGTGCTTCTTCCAACATTGTGTTTTACAAATAGAGCTTGAAAGAGGCAAGAAGAGAAGGAGAAAGGGAGAGGTAAAGCTCATCCCAAGCTACAAACATGAATTGGAGGGAGGGGACTAAAGACAAGAATTAAGGACTGAAAATTAGAAATATGAATAAAAGGTTGGAAACAAGAATTGGAAGTAAGAGATAGGAATAAAGGGCTAGGAATGAGGATTGGAAACAAAGAATAGAAACTAAATCAATCATGAGATGGTAAAGAGGCATATAGCTTTAATAATTTCCATATTAGTAAATAGAATTTTATTAACTCCATTTCAGGACTTGGATATATAATCATTTTTTTAAGAAAGAAAAACTAATTTTTAACATTAAAATATAAAAAATTATGTAAATTTTGATTACATAAGTACAAATGTAAAGCAAATCTTTTAAAATAAAAAAACCTTTTGTAATGCTTCCAAAATATTATTCTAATAGTGTTTATTTTTTTGTTTGTTGTTTCAAATCAAAAATATATATTATAATATATTTTAGAATATCAATTTTATATATATTTATGGATATTATAAAATAACTTATTATAGACGTATTTTATATATTTTTTTTCATTTAAGGATCTTAATTTGATTGTATTTTTTAAAAATTAGTAAATTATATTTATAATATTATTAATAAAATAATTTAAAATAAAAAATCATTTTGATACTTTTGTAAGACTTTGTAGTATATTAAATTTATCTTAAGTTGATATGATAGAAATAAATAGTTAGAATTTTTCAAAAATTAACTTTATGTCAATTTTAATTACATTACATCTTCTAAATTAAATGGATATTGCAAAAATATCTCCTTTCAAAAATATTGATTTTTTAATATAAATTTTATTTTTAATAACTTTAATAATGATTTTTTCTATAAAATATAATTAATTGCTATTTAAACAAACAACATAAAAATTTAAGATACAATTGAAATTGGATAAATAACTATATGCCTATTTGTAACATTATATAAATACAAGAATATATTGCATTTTTGGCATTCTTAATATTTCAAAATTTGTTTTATTTAGATTATAGAAGAGATTGGCCAAAATTAAAAGAAAAAAAAAATCTTGCAATATCAGTAGTATATTGTTTTCTACATGAAAGTATCTTGTATTATCTAATTTGACTTTATTGATAGCCATCTTTACTATATATTAAGTAAGATTAAAATATTAGGATATCAAATATTTATTGTATTAAAATATGTATTTTAGATGTAAGTTTTTTAAAGAATAAAAATAGTCTTCTATATAAACACCAACAAAATATAAAATTCTAAACAAAGTCCATAAATTTGAATGAAAATAGTAGTATAAATAGTAATTTTTAAATACTAATACAATACTAATTACTAAAGAAATATATATATATATATATATAATTTAGACTTTTGTCTAAAAACAAGAACTTCATATATACATGCATAAAGAAGAAATCTAAAATTCTTAAAGAACTAATCTTGATAATAGATTCTAAGGTTAAATCTCTAATATATCCATATCTCTAATATATATCTTTAATATTTATAAAGTCACACAAAATAAAGATGATAAGAGCAATTTTTTTTTAATACTCAAAACATATAAATTAACTTGAATTCTTAGATTCTCAAATGTTAATCAATCTAAAAAATCAAATGAGATATATATTGGATATTATATATATATATATATATATATATATATTAAAACCATGTTTAGATATACATTAATTAGTTAAAAATCAGATTAATTTACAAATTCTTATATTTAAAAAAAAAAAAAAAAAAAAAAAAAAACTATTATTTTATCATATATTTATATAGTTCTTTGAATTTAATTTAAACCTAATAAAAAAAATCATACAAACTTAATGTCAAAATTTTCTATTTTATTTTGTAATTTTTAAAAATTACTATATTATATTTTGTTTTTAAATATATGTAATATCTAAATAATTTATAAGTTTATTATGATATTCGAGTTTTTTACTATATGATTTGCTTATATTTATTTTTATTTATTTGAAATGATTATATTTTTATTGTATAAATTGTATTAAATATTGTGTAGACACATATATATATATATATATATATATATATACATACTCAAACAAGATATAATGTAAAAAGTTAATATTTTATTTTATTTTTTGTATTTGAAGTTTTTTAAAATAGTACTTATTTGTTAAAATTCCTTATTTCACATGTGTGGTTGTGTAGATAGAAAGATCTAATTACATATATTATTGAATTGTTTCAATAATAAATGTCTTCAGAACTAGATTGATTTTGATATGAACTTTTAATTCATACAGTTTATTTAAAAGAAATAAATTCATACATACACAAATTGATAATAACAATTTAGTTACCTGGGTTTTAGAATAAATTAAGTAGCGTTTGATATCGATAATGTTTTTGATTTCTTACTGAACTGTAATTATTAAACTTACTATTTTATGTTTGGGTATTGATTTGACAGCTTTCGTTTATAATTTCTTCTGCACTCATATAATTTTTATGATAAATAAGTTCCAGATGCCATAGTTCTCTTAACTAATTGCTAATAGTACAGCTAATTATAAGCTTGCGGTAATGCAACACAATAGCAGTTGCAATGTCGTGGCAATGGCAAACTAATACCAAGTAGAGGAACGATGATGCTTCATTAGTCCAGGTGAAAGGCCAGGAATGCATAACTTATTGTAGAATAGAAATTAGGAGATAACCAATAGAAACGTATCATTGTCCTTGATGACTTCAAAATTTAACTAGCGGTCAGTGTAAACTATGACCGCTTGCACCAATGTAATAGTGCTTCAGAAAAGCACTTGCACTGACAAATAAACAGAATTTGATGAGAATAATATAGATACGTAATGGAGTATCTGCGAGAAAGTGTCGTGCACTGGCTTTCAGATCCATTCCAATATTATACAGCATATTAATTTTCCACTTTCAATAAGAACGAATATTGGTGTTCTAGTTGACAGGATACACATCAATGAAATTAAAAATTGTACATAACCAATACTGTATTCTCATCAAGTGCTGGCAAGTCTATTATAATATGAGCTCGAGAAATAGTTAACTATCTTTGTGGCGACAAGTTACTAAGTTGCCATTAGTGCATGAATCCATCAGAATTACCTCAATGGAATGTGGATCATTCCGTTTCTGACTTGGTTGTGTTCATGTAGGAGTTTTCATCCCATTTACATGCCTCTGATCAAGATCTTAAAAAAAGAGCTTGAAGCCAATTTGAAGCGCAACATTCTTTACGTGCCACGAACTGGGGCTCCCCTACCAGAACACAAAGGAATCAATTGAGAAGTGCACTCTTTTGTTCCATATTTGGAGGAGGTTGGACATTGAGCAGTCTTGCTTAGAGCTTCTTCACGGCCTTTTTCCATGCGAGTCCAGCGGCTTTGATAGACGCTCGCAGACTACTCTTGTTTGGGTCCTTGTTTTCCGACTGGCGAGAATCAGAGTAGTTGTTACTATTCAAACTATCGGTCTCGGATATTTCATCCACATCAGAGAGGGGCCTCGGAAAGTAGCGCTTCACAGTGGAACAGTGTTGGTCGAGTTTGCACCCAGATACTCCTAGTTCCACTCCTTTTAGGGCTGTGTCACCAGCGAGCACTTCTGAATCTAAAGATTTATGGTCAGGCACCACACCTTCAAGTTTCTTGGCTGCAACGACGGAAACAGTATCTACAGAATTGGTTTTACTGTTTGCAATGCCGCCACATCGTTGGGCATCAAGAGCCTGGATATCGCCGTTGTTGGATGTCACATGAGTACTGAAAGAGAGGGTATTTAAAGCGTTCAACGCCGAAGGGTTATCAATCTCACTGCTTGCAATACCTTGTGACTTTGCCACGTCTACTTCACCGTCCGATTCTGCATCCAGCTTGTTTGACAAGCACTGATCTGACTGCTGCCTTGCGCTTAGTTTCCGAAGGAGGCCTCCCCACAAACCCTTGGAACTTTCCACATTCTCTCTAGTTTTCTCAGAAAGCTCCTGTTAAGAATCATCGCAAACAACCACATCAATGCCAAGAGTGTACCATACCACTGACGAAACAGTGGAAGGTTATCCAGGTACAACAAAAGGTCAAGTAGCAATGGATCCAATCTAAGACTACTATATGTCAGATTAGAAATATCAAACAAACTGAAAGGTGTTGAAAATAATACATGTATGAATTCAGAAAAATAGCACATAGAAGAGAAATTCAGGTGAGACATGGTGGTGTGCCACATAATGGGATCTGTCACGTATCATTTAACGATCATAAATTATTATGGCAAGACCAACCATTTGCCATATGACAATTTACGTCTTGTTCTGCGAGCTTTCTGAAATTAGAATCGACCAACATACAATGTATCTTGTGTTGTATATACACACACACACACACACACACACATATATATATATATATATACACACACATTTTGAAGCTACTCGCCGACGGAACTTGTCTGACCTGATTCTGATTGGTTTCAAGATCCAAGGTCCCACGCATGGCTGCAACACTGATCTGGGAGAAAGGTGGGTCCGAGAAAGCCCGATGCAAAGGGCTTACTTGACCGGGCGAGGAGCCTGCAGACTCAACATTGAATAAGAGCACTTGTAGCCATTTGTCCAAATTCTGCTTTCCAATTTTCCGTAATTTCTCATCGTCTGCATCAGATGATTGTGATTTTCGACTGTCAGCCTGGAATATCCCATCGGGATGGGTATCCAACACCTGCACAGAGAAAACCCTCTTTGAAACGTTATAAGAAAAAAAGTTATTCACGAAAAAGTAAAACGTAAGAAGTGTAAAAATTTGAGCACGCGACGTTATAAATTTTCATGTTCAGGAAATGAATTCAATTCCAGCATTATCTCGCATATGACTAAATTGACTGCCAAAGCTAAAACTCTCAAAGCAATACTAGTTGTATTTTAGCGTTGATGCTACACAATATTTAGCGAAAAAGCCTCCAAACGATGGACACAAAACCTTAAAGACTCAAAGTTGAACAAGAAGACCTCAAATTATAAGATAACTGAAGATCTGCAAAGTTAAAGTAATCACACCTGTTGAAGCACGTCATCAAGGTGCTCCTCTGACTTCCTCGATAGATCATCTTTCGCGTATCTCCCAGCCGCCCTCGAGGTAGGAAACTGAAGTTGAACATGATGAAAAAGTTCATTTAAATACCCTTGCTTGCACACAACTGCCGTCTCAATCATGTTAGCTGCCACATCTGACTTTGAGGTCTCAGATTGCACCACTATGACATTTTTCTGTACTTCATTTCTTGAACATGAAATAGGATTTGCTCCGTCACTAAGATCACTTGGTTCTGGTACTGAACATTCCAAATGATCACAGATTTCAAGAGAATCCAGGTTCATAATTGCACATTTGGCACGGATTAGCTCTGCACTCAATGTGCGAACCTGCGAGATTCCAAGATCAAGTCCAGCATCTACTTCTGGTAGCCTATGGTGAGGTTGATTATCATAGCTCCGCTCTTCTTCAGGATAATGGTGTTCATACTCCACGTCATCATCCGCAAATTCGCCATGACTACTGCCCCCTGCAAATTCAAAACAAATCAAGACAGACTGAACATAAATTGAATATACAAACACAAGGTACCAAACTCCTATTCACACAAAGGGTGCATCATATTAATTTTTTTCGAAATACCAATCAGTGTGCCCTCGCTAACACTAATCCAGTTAACCTGTAGCTCTCTCGTGTTTGAGTCTACAACATTAGATCATTGAAATCAACCAGGCTGACAGATTCTTGATGCTCTATGCTAACTTCATCCATCATGGAAAGACATGCCATACTGAAGTCCAACAAGTAATTTAGAGGTAGTCCTCGACGCACCTCGATTACCATCTAACTGCATGGGGGGGCCAGCAACTTCGACATTCGTAATCTTCTCTTCGTGAGCGCTGACATCTACCATATCCTTGGTACCGCAAACTGGTAATGCCTCGGATGGAACTTTCGGTGCCAGAACTTCAGCCTCTTCATTGATATCCTTCTCCAAGTTGGTAACTGCAAAGCCGATAATGATCCTCGTCAATCATACGTCCCATATCTAAAAACATAAGTGAAGAATTCAAGCTACTGAGAAACTAGTGTGTGGAGTTAATAGAAATAGGATAATCGGATGTTCAGCAACTCTCCTACTTTGAAAGCTACGAAAACCTACAGAATGAGAAATCTCAACATGCACATGATGCGTGCATAAAATAGCTGAAAGGCACAGAATTGGGTTTGACATAAACTAAACGGTTTTGTATATAGCATCACCATCATCGATTTCTCTGTTGAGTGATATCTGAGTAGTCTCTTGTTGATTTTGATGCAATATATCTTTTGCTCGACGAATCTCCGTGCGTAGTCTGTAAATTTCAATCGCAGTCTCATCTCCACTATCACTTTCAATGATATCATTACATTGAAGCAGAACTTTCTTGTCTACCTCTTCGTCTTCATCTTTACCATCACCTGGGGTTGACTCACAATTGCTCCCATTTACTATCTCTCGACCCAGCATAGGATCTTTCTTTACTGCGATAATAGTCGAATTAAATTTCGAGTCGGTATCCCCTACAGCAGCCTCCAGAGTTTCTCTTTGGGAATAACTTCTTAACAAGTCCTGTTCTGCAACTTTGCATCCAGCCTTCTGGCAATCGAGTCGAGCCATGAGTGCGTTGCATGCTGCTTGATTCAAACGAGCTTGCTCCTTGTATGAGATGCTCCTTTACAGCCATAAACACACAGTTTAAATAATTCTAAAATTTCTGCCATTACAAGCATCGTACATCACTTGGACACTTGGGAGTCCAGAAAATTCATGAAAAAGAAAAAATAAAAAAGGAAAAGAAAAAGAAGAAGAATTAGCACAATGATCACATCAAAAAGGTTTTGTACCTTCTATCACAAATTAAAAACTTTACTTACTGGTGCATGGTATCACGGATCATCCGTTCTAAGCAAAGGCGATGTGACGACTGGGCCTCTGCCCACCTCCGTTGCTTCTCAACACTCCGTTTATGTTTGGTTAGCACTGCCTCAAGCTGAATGGCACTCAATCTCTCTTTTTCGTTCTGCTGCTTCAAATTCATAACAGTCTCTTCGAGTTCTGCAATTTCATGCTCTTTCTCTCGTTTCTCCTCCTCTCTCATGATCTTCACACGGAGCTCCTATAACGAAATAATGATGAGTTTATTAATTACTTAAAGCAGATTAAGTAGATGAGGCATAAAAGACAGTTACTGTTATTTGAAAGCAATTTTAAGCAAATGGAAGGAGAAAACATAATATCTGTACGTTGCCTGCCCTACTATTCGTCAGTTTAGACAAGGTAATTTAGAGAAGGCGGATTAAGAGTATTGGATATAGTCAAGTTGGGAGGCTCGACCTTCTGCAGTGTAGTGGTAGCTGAAGAGTGACGGTCTGAATGAGTGGATCTGCTACTTGTTGAAAATACATTTACCACGTTCTCCTTTCCAGGATTTTCACAATCGACTCTTATCACACGGTACTGCGGAACACCATAAGAAAACAATTCTCAACACGAGCTCAGGGAATAGTCCTAGAATATAGAAAAGATTTCGACAATGAACCGATATCACATCATGATAACTTAAGATGTTCTGTGATGAAGTTGGAATGAAGACTAATCACCTTATCTTTAAGTTGAAAAATTGAGCGATTTGAAAGAGTGGGTTCATTTTCTTTAATCTCCTTCCAACTGCCTGATCCAAATTTATTGACTGCTCGTCTAAGAGCCTCCTCTTCTTCAGAACTCCAGCGTCCTTTAGCTTCTGTTCCTGCTAAAGTTAGCAAAACTTCAGAGCAGAATACAAGGACCGCAAATGTCGCGTAGAGCTGGGTACAATATAGCTTCTCATTCTGAGGGATAAGAGAATTCGAAATAAGTGAATGAGGACGCAAAAAAAAAGCTGACAAGAGTGTGCACATTGTGGAAAAATCACTTGTTAGACTTGATGGATAGGCTTCCAGTTAGGCAATAGACAATGCATTCGGCATAATATTCAGGGTCTCAAATGTCCATAAGGACACCTATCGTTGAAGGTACCTGCAGCTGAAGGTGGGTCACAAACCACAAGAGGTTGTAATGGAGAAGTCGATTGTTGAACTTTTTCGCCTTCTTTTTTGACCGTCACAATGGCTGCTGCAGCTAAGCCACAATAAGCCTTCTTTTCACGAAAATGCTGAGGCCATGGACGACATTCTCCCACATGCTCCCTTGCAATCGATTCATCCTCTCCCCCTGAAAAGAATAAGGCAAATGATCTCTTCCTGCATAAAAATCGTCAAATGAGTCTTTACCTTCGAGAATATTCGACCTCAACATGACATTTCCTCTCAAATCAAGAACGAAGCTACACATGCTAGACCCAACCAATTTCAAATGTTTAGACAAAAATCAGGTACAATATGATCGGGTATAATAATGACTGCATGCTACTTTTAGTACCTGAAGTCAGCGCTTTTGGAGGCAAAGGCAGAGAGAAACTGGTTAATGGAACATCCATGTTGCAAGTCCCACCAGGGTACAAGAAACTCGAGGCGACTTTTCTTCCGCTGGCTTGCTTGCCACTGAAGCACGCGCAAATTGGACACCACCGTTTTTCCTCCTCCTGAACACATGACTCGTGAATCATAGCCATTCAGAACAAATAGACGAACTGCATTAATATTCATCATTGTTGACCAAGGTAGACGATTTACATAGTGTTAAGAGCAGACTCCTGGTGCACATGAAATGGTGGACGTTTCGACGTACGAGAATGGGGAAACCAATGGTCTATTTCCCAGGCAAGCGGAGACGAAGGATCAGCATTCCAGTACACCACGTTGCCGTAAGAATCCACCCTGAACTTTGCCGGGTCAAATCCAGCATTTCTGTACACAGTTACAACACATGAGCATTATTTCCATGTCATATCTTTCTGAAAACTCTAGGAAGCGGAGTATTTCTTTCTTTTCCTGAAACGCACACCATTGTAGCAATCCTAAAATCGGTTGTATTGTACATTCACGCACCATCGGTCTTCATCAAATTATTTGTGTAAGTCAGAAAGCATAATATCTGGCCCAGCAAGGAGTCACGGTATGGTACTAATTGTAGCATACGATCTTGAAGCGACAATGACGTACTTCTGGTTTTCACATGCACTGAAAGTTAGGTAAAGGCCATGACCTGGACCCTACTTAAATAGAATCCCCTAAATTTTACTCAAGGAAATTCAATTCTCTACAAAATACCATGTCACTCAATCGTGTGGTATTGCATCGAGAACAAAGGTTAACACTATATCATACTGCTACGGCCATCATACCCAAGGTGATCGAGCTGCTGCCACAATTCTTCCGCATGCTTGCGGGCATTCAGATCGGGATCTCTCTCTGTGTCGTCCACAGTGGGAAACAAACCATCCCATTTTTTTAAAGTCGCGAACTGTAATGGACACCAAACATTGACGCTTTCAGATCAGTAGAATGCAGCGTCTGAAATTAACTTATCAATTGTGAAGGTACATTTTAGTGATTTCAGAATCACAACGTCCCGTTTACACGATATCATAAGAGTGTGGATAGAAAAAATGTCAACGACAGTTAACCCTGCTGCAATGTCGGCATTCAATGATATTGATGCAAGCAACAAAAGAGTAGAAAGCGGGGACTCACGTCTTCAGCTTGTGGAGAGTACGGCAGGAAGCGTTGAGGAGGACCTGCCGTGAAGGGAGTGACAAGACCTTGGAGTTGCACTGCGGCGTGTTGACATAACTTGGCGTACCCATGAGGATAACCCAATACCGGGTCTACTACCCTCTCCTCCTCCGTCAACATCAGCTTCGAAAACATGTCGACCTCCATAATTGTACTGTATCTCTCGCTGTTTTGTTTACAGCTGCAACAAGAACCGGAATTCAAGAATTCAGCTTTGAATTCATGGAAGGCTAGTGAACGTTTCTGCCGCTGACGATGTAGCAAGAAGCAACAGAATGTCAGGGCGACACACTCAATTCCCAACACATTTAGAACCAGACCAGGCTTAACCAGCTGAAAAACCATTTAAAAGAAACTGCAGAGCGAAAGAAGGTAAGATTACAGTGAAGCAAGGCAGCGCAGCGCGAGAGGACTGGTAGCATTTTATCTCTTTCAACATGAATGCAACCTCCCAAAACCAACAAACTTCTCCAAAGCAACTCCAACAATTTCGAACCAAACTAAAGCACTGCACATCGGAGACGTTTCAAAAAAGCCACACTACCTTAAGAAAATTCGCTGTACCTACAACGGAATCGCGGCGAGGCGAAGTGGCAGCCTGACATCAACAAAAATAGCGCATTTACCAAAAGTTTGAACGCTGCGAGACACAGAGCGTAGCAGAGACGAAATGACAAGAGCAGACAGGCGGTGCAGCAGCCGAGTGTGCAGCAGTAGCAGTGGCAGTTGCAGCAGAAACAACAGAAGCAGGCGTGGGTGGATGACGCGCGACGCACACAACAGATTCGTGGCAACGGGATCAAGACACTGGTCCATGGTTTGATTCTTAAAACGTCAGACGAGCATTCAATGCGGCCCCCGCCTCCTCCACCCTCCCCGCTCTTGTACATTCCCCGCCTTCACTTTTGTAATTCCCTCGACAGACGAAGCCGAAGAAAAAGAAGGCGGGACCTCCCCGGACGGTCTCACGCCCCCCATTCCCATGACCACGTTTCCAAGACCGTGGTCGTCATCACCCTAGACCGTGATCAGTCTTCCACGTCGCTCACCGATTCGTCAGGTCCAGAGTCTCGTCTCTTTCTGAGTTCTCGTCGCTAATTGAACAGAGATGAACGTTTGAAGCATGTCCAATGGGGTCAGTGGATGAAACTTGGTGCTGCTTTGTGGGGTACAGTTCTGTGCTTGTTCTCGGCCTCTTGTTTGGGTGATTTGAAACTGGAGTGTGTGTTAGGGAAGTTCAAGGTTCTACATCCATGGATGAATGGATGAATGTTAGGGTGAGTACTTGCTTCAATAAATGGATGAACTTTGATGTGACCCCCCCCCACCACTTAGCACACTGATCATATTTCAATACCAGGTACTGGGTTATTAATTGCAGACCCTTTTGGACCAATTGCAGCTAGATGCATTGTCCTTCCCAATCTTTTGCCCATACCCAGTACACATAATTCTTACCTTTCTGTTAAGGATGAATGTCGTCGTTTTACATGACGAATAACGGCGAAAAAGGTTCACCCCCCCAGTTCAGTTCTGTCGAACGGATGAAAGTGCCCCTAAACACTAAACACTAGAATTAGATTCAAACGTAAATTAATCCTCTCTTTAAGAGATTAGACAAATATGAGTGGTGAAGATAATGAGGTTTTGTGTTCGAATAAATTTTTATTCTATGTTTATACACTACAAAGTAAGGACATGATTTACATATATTTTGCTTGTGTGGCATTGTTTTGAACAAGTGATGGCATTGCCAGTATCTACTTGGCAAGTGTGAGGGATCCTATGAAAATCATCTTGAGAATGGTGCACCAGATGTGTGATCATGTGCTAAATTACCATCACTCGTGGCCCCAAAAAACAGAATAATATAAAATTTTACTTTTGAAATACCTTGAAGTTGTTCTCCAAGTTGTTCCTCTCAAAGAAAAGCTCTCAAATGAGTGAAGACAAAATAGGTAACCTAACACTCCTCATTGGATGATGTTCATTGATGGCTTACAAAAGATTCCATGATTTGAATAATTATTCCTCCTTTGTCTTTTATTACAAAGAGGAAATTTTTTGAATGAAAAGAAGGGTCACTGATGATTAAAAAAATAAGTTATTGGGAATGGTTGAATGGTTAGTATCTCTATATCAAATTTTTATTTGTTGCTTGTATCAGTTGAGGAGTATTTAAACTTCTATTGGATATAAACATCAAGGAAATAGTGAATATAAGTACAGAGTTCTTGTTGAATAATTATTTAGGATTCAGTTTAAACAAAAAAACAAGATAAAACGTAATGGTTTTGTTGTGTGGGAATGTGTGTGAAGAAGAATGCATTATCAACATTTTGTGAATGAATATATTTTGAAATGTGTGTTTCAAATACAGCTTAAAGGTTTGATGGTCATTTCGCATGATTTTGGTGGGCAATGATAATTCCCATAGCCAGATCTGTTATCAGTTCTTGGATTATATCAGATTATTTTTGAGAAATACTAATGCATGCATCTTAAACACATGTTTAGGCTGTTGGTAACAGCATTCAATGTTGATTATGTCGATTTTGTTTTCCAAACTTCAAAAATTGATCATGTGTTTTATTTTAGAAAATGGCATTTAATCCAGTGGATCAGTTTAAACTTTTATAACTATTTACACAAGTGACTTTTAAAAGCTTGTCAATGTATTAATGTATCTGTTAATGTTCTAAAGTATTATAGTATAAATCTTTTAATTGACACATGCATACAAAAGTGCATTTCATGATTATTTATCAACTGCAAAGGAGTGATTTGTAGAATTTATAATTTGTAATTTACTAGAGTAAGATAGAGGATAAGATTTATTGCCAATAACTATAGATTGTATCAAATGCAATTGTAAAAGATTGTATGTTTATAACTTCCTTAAAATTTGAAAATATGGCATGCCAAATGTTACAAGTAGATATTAAATCCTCAAAGTAACTATCCTAAAGTTGTGATTAATTGCAACTATTAACAAACATTGTCCACTACTAATTGATTGGGAATACCTTTGTTATAATAAAACTAGACCCTTAAATGGTTGATCTAATAGTTTCCTTAAATTTTGCAAGAAGGTGCTAAGTTTATGATAACATTTGAAGCATTTGTTTCTATCGTTCCTATGTAATTCTAAAGCATCTAATAGTCAAGTTCAAGGATGTTTAACAAGTATGTAATTGTAAGCTTTGTCACCATTTTATTTTGTTTCATATATATATATATATATATATATATATATATATATATACATATACAAATAAATAAATAAATAAATACATAAAGTTATTCCATGAAGAAAAAATTCCTTAACATCAAATTGTGAAGGATACAAGAGCTTATGAGAAATAGATAAAATTATGAAAGATTAAAAAATAAAGTTGGTGATAGTTATAAACAAAATTAAATAATAATTTTGTAAGTGATATTTTTTTCTAAAAAAATTATACTATATATATGGATATATATTTTTAAATTATTAAAATTATCACCTTGAAAACCACAATTTTTATCTATTATAGGAGTATAAATGTGTGTATAATTGTCACAAAAATAGATATTTATTCTAATAATTATTAAGATAATATGAATAGGTAGAAGTAGATAGAAGTAGATTAATTTAATAATATCTTATGGAAAAGCATTCTAGAAGCTTTATAGATATGGTGTTGTATTGAAGTTTGGCTACTATGTAAAAAGAATGAACATATATATTTAATATATAATTTACTATACAATATAGTGAAAGCTATATTATTAGATTTTAGTTGATTACAAAATGTGGTTAGATTGTTACTTTGAAGTAGTTAGTTTAAAAAGATTATAATTGAGATTGATTTTATATTGATAATAGTTTTTATATATTTAGAACCATATTTATTAGACATTGGTGACTCTTGAAATCTTATTTTATTTCTTTTATTTGGTGTTTAGAATACATATTATATAAAATTTATTTTAAAAAATATATAAAAGTATTTTTGTGTGAAAAGGAGAAGTTAGGCCAACCATTTGGATGAATGGAGATAGATGATGAAAATTTCTATTCTTATTGGTCAAAAGTTATGTCCAATATACTTCAAGAAGATTATCTAAGGCCTTACTAGGGATGAGGGTTACTCTTTCAAAAATATTCAAATATTAGAAGTTAGAATCATCAAATTAAAGATTTTGGATATATTTTTGGTACAAATTTTGTATGATCTGGAGTTTTTTTTTAAGAAAATATAAGTCCTTAAAGTTAAAGTATTGATTTTGTACCTACTATCATTCTTTGGGACATAACACATACATATGAAGGATTTTTGAGGATTAGATTGTGCGATTGGAAATTTGGTTTAAAGGTCTATATTTTCATATAAAAAAAAAGATTTGGAATTGATTTAAATGAGTAACGACTACTTAAAAACAACTCTTTTAAATTGAGGTTTGTTAATGAACTAATTTAATGAGGGATTTGATTCTACTCATATCTCAAGTATTTAGATGAATCTATAGCTAATTTTTTTATGCAAATGTATATTATTATGTTGTTAATTTACATACCAATTTTTTTAGTATTTGAATTTTGGATTTTTGAGACATGAAAAAAATAGTACTTAGGTACTTCTAAATTGGGATTTAGAGCACCTACTAGGATTTCTAAGATGTCAAATGATTTGTAGTAAATTAATGGTTCATTTATTTAATAATAAGGCTTAATGTTAAATGCTAAATTATCTAAAAATTTGAAAAAAATTAAACAGTTGGATCAAAAGACATGAAATTCTAAAATTTGGAGAGAAAAATATTTTGTAAGTAAAAAATATTTTGAAAGAATTTACTACAATTAGAGTAATTTATGCAAAATAAAAGAAATTTTGAGAGCCAAGATTTTATATATATATATATTAAAGATAGAAATATAGAGCCATGAAAAAACTATGATATAAAGATGAATGTTTAAAAATAAAATTTTAGATTTTCTTTAAAATTATTGAAAATCTAACTTATTGGCAAATGATTAGTTGTGATTTGATATAGCAAAAGATGTTAGAGAATTTTTAGATATTCTAGAAAGCCTTATGTATAAACCTTATTAAATTTAAAAGATTTTTACTAGTAGAATATCTTTTGATTTTGTTGCATATATTTATCTTTTATAATAAAAATATATCATTTATAGGAGCTTAGCAAATAAATTAAAGCTAAACTCTCTACAACTAGGCATCCAATATATTTCCAAATAGAAAATCATGCCATACAACAATAGTTTTATCTTTATACATTATTGTGATGTAATATAATTAATAAATGAAAGAGAAAATAACATATTATATTATAGAATATCTTATTTTAAAATATTATAGAAAATTATCTTTAAAATATAGATAATAGTCAAAAAGATAGTAAAACAAAAAAATGCTAATGCTACCTTTTTACAAAATTGATTTCTATTCATTTTGTAGGACTATAAATAAGATAAATTAAAATAGAATAGAAAATTAAATAATATAAGCATATGTAGGAGAAGATTAAGAATAAAATTTAGCAAAATTTATCTCAAGAAGCCAAAAATTGATATCTCAAGAGGACTGGTTATCAACCTAAATCAAAATCAGATCATGAGGCTCAAAACTGTACATCTATAGTGACTTTGGGATTGTTTTGTAGATCGAAGAGTAGAATTTGAAAGAAAACTTAAGAAGATATTTTTAAGCATTGATTTTATATAATTTAAATTAATATTGAGATTTTGGGAGATTTTCAAAGTTAATGATGTTTATGGTAGAATTAGGGTTTAAAAAATAAAAAATAAATTTATAAATTTGAAGGTTTCTTAAGTTTTGTAGTGTAAATAGGAGTGAAATTTGGATAATATATTGATGTATTAGTTGTAAATGTGTATGCAAATTTTGAAGTCATTTGAATGATTAGATTGAAGTTTATGAAGATTTTTGTGGGTTGAGGTCTAAAAAATTGAAATTTACGAGTCAGTAAGTATTTCTAACTTCTTCAATAATCTATCAATTGGATTGAAGTGAATTTTTTTATATAGATATTAGACTCAATTTTCAATATTTGGATGAAATTTGAAAGTAATTCAATAGTTTAAGAAAGAGATATTGGTACTAAAAGTTTAACATTTAGGTTGGAATAGGAGGCTATCTAACACTTGATTGAATTATCTTGCATTTCTCTCAATTGGTTTGTGTGATCAATTTTGTCTTTCTTATACTTATTTTTAATTAAGATATTAAAAATTTTCTAAATTTTGAGTTGATATCAATGATTTGAGTATTAATTGTTGAGGTTCTATTTTGCTTTAAGTTTTATTAAGAGTTTTTTTAAGATCTAGAATTTAATTAAGATTTGGTTTAGGATTTGTCTTTAATTTGGTTAAGGCTTAAGATTTGGTTTAGGATTTGTCTTTGATTTGATT